ATGTGCTAATTAACACTTTGAAAGTCATTTGACCTAGATTGTATTCATTGCTGGGAAGTTATAGCAAAATCCTGTTTTGCGCATATCATCGCGAATGCTGCTTATTCCTGGATTTATTTATTTTTTGTGTTAATATTTTTATTAGGAGAAAGATCGACATTACAAACATATTTTAAACTATAAATGACAAGGTATGCCATATCGAACAAACATATATATGGATAGTAAAATAGTAAAATGGTAAAAGGCATACAATTTAGCTCCTATGGGTTTTTTTTTTTTTCCTTACAAAACTGAACAGGATACAATGTATACAAACTTAATAAAGAAATAAGAAAGAAGGGGGAAAAGAAATAAAATAAAGTAAAATAAATAAATAAATAAATAAATAAAAAAAATAAAATAAAATAAAAATAAAAATAAAAATAAATAAAAATAAAAAGAAGTAAATAAACAAAATTAAAATTAAAGTTAAGGGTGGGTGTGGGGGTAAGGTGCATCACCTAATCTGGGAGAGGGGACTGAAGAGAATGAAAGAATGTCATGAAAGGGCGCCATAAATGATAGAATTTAGCAGAGTTGCCTTTCAATGAATATCTTATCTTTTCCAATTTTAGAAAAGACATGGTGTCTTTAAGCCACTGGCCGCTAGAAGGGGGAACTGTTGACTTCCAATGAAAAAGAAGACGCCGCCTTGCCAGTAAGGAAGTAAATGCTAAAATATCCAACTGGTTAGAAGTGAACTGTTTGTAGTCACCTGGAAGCCCAAATATAGCAACATGGGGAGAAGGTTTGATGACTACTGAGAGTATTTTAGACATTGTATCAAAGTAGATTAGCCAAAAACTATGGAGTGATGGACAGGAATAAAACATATGAGATAAATTACAGGAAGGAGCATGACATTTGACACAATTGTCAGACACCGAGGGAAGGAATTGGGCCAGACGAGTTTTGGAGAGATGAACCCTAAAGAGAACTTTAAACTGTATGAGAGAAAGTCGAGCACAGATTGAACTTGTGTGAATTTTCTTAAGAGCATTATTCCACCAGTCCTCTCCCAAATTTAGACCCAGTTCGAGCTCCCAGGCCGCCTTGACCTTGGTAATGGACGAAGAATCAAAAGACAGAATTTCATTGTAAACTTTAGATATATATGACCTCTGAAGAGGATCCCAGCTCAAAAACATCTCCCAGTGCAAGTTCAGTGGCCTGGAAGGAAAATTGGGAAATAAAGCTTTGGCGCAATGTCTAACTTGAAAGTACCGGAATAGATGAGATGAAGGGAGTTGAAATTCTGATGAGAGGTCTGTGAAGCTGCGAAAGATACCTTCCTTGTAAAAATTGTTAAAACATGTCAGCCCTTTATTATTCCAGAATGAAAAGGTTGAATCAGTGAGTGCTGGTTGAAACAAGTGATTCTTCATTAAAGGGGCAAGTGAAGATGCACAGTGAAATTTGAAGTGCTTTCTAAACTGGCACCAAATTTTTAAAACAGATCGAACTACTGGATTATTTATAAAACCAGAGGGATTGGATGTAATAGGGGAAGTAAGAAGAGCAATTAGTGAGGATGGGGAGCACGATTGGGCCTCCAAGTTGCACCATGGCAGGTCCACAGATCGAAACCAAAATGAAATTTTATGGATGTGAGCTGCCCAATAATACAGCTGGAAATTTGGAAGTGACAATCCGCCATCAAATTTGCATCTATGAAGTGTGGATTTGCGGATTCTAGGTTGTTTTCCACGCCATAGAAAGCCAGTAATAACTTGATCAAGCATCTTAAAAAAATGCTTTGGGAGAAAGAGTGGGAGACAATTGAACAAAAAAAGGAATTTTGGTAAAACATTCATTTTAATTGCATTGATTCTACCTATAAGTGAGAGTGGTAAACTATTCCATCTTTGGAGGTCCAATTTGATTTTAGAAATTAAAGGCAGAAAATTAGCAGTGTAAAGAGAGCTTAATGATCTTGTTACATTGATGCCCAAATACTTGAAGCCAGAAAAGCTCAACTTAAACGGAATGTCCGAGTGTGAAAGCTTTAAAGCAAGAGCATTGATAGGATAGCATTCACTTTTAGCGATATTTACTGTGTAACCAGAAAAAGATCCAAATCTCTGAAAAGCAGACAGGATTGACGGTATTGAAAGAGTGGGATTTGAGACATAAAGCAATAAATCGTCAGCATAAAGCGATAGTTTGAATTCTGTGCCTGATCGGGAAATTCCAGTAAAAGTATTGGAGGACCTAAGGAAGATTGACAAAGGCTCGATAGCCAGTGCAAACAGTAGGGGAGATAACGGGCATCCCTGTCTAGTGCCGCGGAAAAGTTTAAAAAAACTGGATTGAATGCCATTGGAGGAGACACTAGCATGAGGAGAAATGTAAAAGAGATGTATCCAAGATATGAATGCATCACCCAGTCCAAACTTTCTTAAAACTGCAAATTAGTAATCCCATTCAACTCTGTCAAACGCTTTCTCAGCGTCAACAGAGATCACGACCTCAGGAATGTCAGTGGTGGTCTTAGAGTAAATAATATTCAAGAGTGTACGGATATTGAAAAATAATTGCCTCCCCTTAACAAATCCAGTTTGCTCATGTGAGACAATAGTAGGTACTACACTTTCTAGGCGATGTGCCAAAACTTTAGCAAGAATCTTAGCATCAACATTTATTAAGGAGAGAGGTCTGTATGAGCTACAAAGATTTGGATCCTTATCTTTCTTCAGGAGGAGACTAATCGAGGCTTGAGTTAAAGTATCGGGGAGACTGCCCTGATGAAATGACTCCTTATATACTGCATGTAATATTGGGGATAGCTTGTCCTGAAATTTTTTAAAAAATTCAATAGGAAATCCATCTGGACCGGGAGCTTTGTTGCTTTGCATGCTTTTCATGGCGGCCACAATCTCCTCTATGGTTAAAGGGGAATCAAGTTCCTTAGCAACATTTGGGTTTATCACAGGGAACTCGAGAGTGTCAAGAAATTGAATCATTTCAGTGGAATCAGATGGGGATTCAGATTTAAATAGCAAGGAGTAAAATGACTGAAAAACCGAATTAATAGTAGTGGGATCATGATGCAAAGTACCTGACGAGTCCATTATCTGGGGAATCATATGCGAAGCTGCCCGACGACGAAGCTGATGAGCGAGAAGTCGGCTGGACTTATCACCATGTTCATAATAAATGGAGCGAGATCGTAGAAGAAGTCGCTCTGCATCGTTGGTGGTGATGAGATCATATTCAGTCTGTAAATCTACCCGCTGTTTAAGTAAAGTTGGTGAAGGAGAAACAGCAATTTGCTGATCCAGAATAGTAATATTAGCGCTAAGTTCTAATAGTTTTGCCTTGCGCGTCTTATTCAAATGAGCAGAGTATGAGATAATTTGTCCTCGTAAGAATGCTTTTAATGATTCCCAAAGTAAAGAATATGAAATTGGATCGCTGTCATTCTGATTTATTGCAACAAAATCATCAATTTGGGCTGCGATAAATGTGTTAAACTTTTCATCTGAAAGAAGTAAAGGATTAAATCTCCAAGGTGTGATATAGCGATGTTGACAAGCAAACTTAAGATCTAATGTGAGAGGGGCATGATCAGAGATGACAATAGGGTGATAATTAACAGATAGAACATTTGGAATTAGCTTGGTGTCGAGAAAAAAGTAGTCTATACGAGAGAAAGATTGATGCATGTGGGAAAAGAAGGAAAATTTCTTGTCTTGGGGATTGTAAAATCTCCAGGGATCAGTGCAACCATTTTTTGACATGAAGTCAGAGAGTGATCTAGACATTAATGAGGGAACCAAACTGCGCGGGTCAGAGCGATCCAACCTGGGATCGATGACACAATTCATATCTCCGCCTACTATAAGGAGATTATTATCTAAAGAGGGAAGACATTCAAATAGCTTATTCATAAAATTTGGATAATCAAAGTTAGGGGCATAAATATTCACTAGGAGAATTGGGACATGAAATAAAGTACCAGCGACAATTAAGAATCTGCCATTTTTATCTGATATAATTTTAGAAACTGAAAATTGAATTGATTTACCAACTAGGATGGCAACCCCCCTGGCTTTAGAATTGAAATGTGAATGAAATACCTCAGAAACCCAAGGACATTTTAGCCTGACCTGATCTTTAGTGCGCATATGGGTTTCCTGTAAAAACACTAGGTCAGGTTTAAGACGTTTCAGGTGTGCAAAAATCCTTGATCTCTTAATTGGGCTGCCCATACCTTTAATATTCCAGCTCAAGAATCTCACAGAAGAACCTATTTGTGAGCCATTCACAGTATTGTCATTAGTAGACATGTTTTGGGTCTATTGTAGAAGAAGAGACAAGAAAACTGAATAGGGAGCACCGCCCCACACCACCAGAAAGGGAGAAAAAAATAAAAATAAAAAAATAAATGAAAATAAAAAAAATAAAAAATAAAATAATAAAAAAAACTGGGGAGCAAAAAAGAAAAAGGAAATAAAATGAATAAATAAAAATTACGGTGGAAAAAACAACAATCCGAACGAAGTGAACAACCACCCGCCCACCCCCCCCCCTCCCCGCTGCACTTACAACGACCCCATCCCCAAACGATGGAGAACCCAGTGCAGACTCCACAAGGAGTCAGATCCCTAGAATGGATGCTTACGGTTTTTAGCAATGTAGAAACAGAAAAGCTACTGTTTGAGCTTGAGCTCCCGCAAACTTAGCAACATTAAACAACATGGCACATATGGTTGAGTGCATAAAATAACGGACTAGAAAATGTTAATGACAAAAAGAAAGCTTAACCTCAGTAAAGCAAGAAGAGTAATAACAGTCGGTAAAGGTAACAGGTTATTCAGAGTTATGTGCTTCTGCAATGTTCTCACGTGTCTTGAGAGACCTGATGAAAGCCCCGGCCTCTTCTGGTGAATTAAATACAGTCTCCTTACCATTATGTGTAACCCGGAGTCGAGCTGGGTATAACAGTCCGAATCGGATCCCCGGGATCATTCGAAGCTGTCGGCGGACATCATTGAAGGAGGCGCGGGCCCGGGCCGTCCTCGGCGTGTGGTCAGGGAAAACGGAGAAGCGTGTATCTCCAAACATGATCCGCTGCTGGGACCTAGCTCGACCCAATATGTCCACACAGTCCGAATGATAGTGCAGACGAATAACAATAGGACGAGGTCTCTCTCCAGGTTTCGGTCTCGGTTGGAGAGTACGATGGGCACGGTCCACCAAGGGCTCCTTCTCCAATTTAAAAGCCTCCTTAAGCAAATTTGAAATGGCTGTAGATGAGATGGAAAAATCCTCTGGAATTCCTATCAGCCGCAAGTTGTTGCGGTGAGATCTGGCCTCCAGGTCATCACATTTATTGTCAAGTCTTTTCACGTCCGCAGACAGCTGCTCCACCTTAGCCTGTAGCGTAGTGATGTCGTCGGTGCATGTAGAGCATGATGTCTCCAATTCGCCCACGGTGTCTTTCAGGGCGCGTACATCCAGTTGAATGGTTGTAATGTTGCTAGTTAATTCCGACTTCACAGCCAGAAGCTCAGCCTTTATACTCGACAAGTTTTCAGTAAGAGCTGCTTGGAGTTCGGTTTTGAAAATAAGTGCCATTTCAACCCGGAGTGCCGATAGCAGCTCGGTCTTAAAGGCCGAGGAAGAAGTGCCTCCAGCGAAATCATCCGGGCTGGAGGGAGAGTCACCACGAGGCGGGGATGTAGCATGAGAAGCAGGTCTCTGTTGCTGTGTAGACGATTTGATTTTAGGAGGCATATCAAACGAGAAAAATGCCGAAATACTAGACGGCTTATAGTAACGGGAAAAAGAATCACACCGAAAAAACGATAGAGAACTATCAAAAATGTGCCTAAATTAGTAATGAATTCAAGCTGTTGCGGGAGCTCAGCCAGACACGTCCTACCACGCCATTCGCTCAACCGGAAGTCATTCCTGGATTTATAATGGAAAGTGTGATATCTTTTGACTGAACGTGAATGCAAGTGAGATTTTGGTTGTGAAGTCATGGGATGTTATGTGGAACACTTCCAAAGTGATTTGGCATAGTTTTGAATCATTACTTTGAAGTTACACAAAAATCCTGTTTGATGTATATCTCAGTGATTTTTGGAATATTGATGGTGTAATATCTTTTGACAGCAAGTTAGTACCAGTGTGAATCTTTCTGAGAAGTCAGGGAATGTGCTAATTAACACTTTGAAAGTCATTTGACCTAGATTGTATTCATTACTGGGAAGTTATAGCAAAATCCT